GATCGGCCGACCTTGCGTGCCAAGTACCGGTATTCAGATTACGCGAAATACAACGATTTGCTATTATATACACTATGCAACATTCGCTACGCTGAAACTAGACATTATTCTCCCGCGGTAGCCTGAGTTTTTTTGAAACGTAAATTTGAATGACACACACGTGATGACAAAATCGATGACGCAATTCGCCGAATTGTTAAAATCACGAAGAAAACATGTGCACGCTCTGAGAAAAAAATTGTTTTAAATATCAAGTAAATATAGTCTTTTGAAATGTTTGTTCTTTTGATAAAAGGAGTTGTTTATTTTATTTAAGCAAACGTTCAGGTTTAAACGTGCATATTACATTTTATGTTGCATTTTTATAATTTTCTACGTTTACTATTTTCATAAAATATATATTATCATTTGTTAATTGAAGGTATGTTTTAAAATTAAAAAACTCAAGCTTTTTTTAACTAAAAAATGCAGTTTACTAAATATTTTATAAAATTGAAATGTAAAATATAAATTAAGATATAAAAATGGTTGGTTAAAACTTATGTATTCTTTTCTGGCATATAATATATGTTTCAATTAAGAAAATGTAGACGTTTTTTGGATACAAATAAATTATTATTCACGAAATAAATAGGAAAGTTTTTCTTGATAGAGTTTCAAAACAGCCCATGTAGGAATTGCCGACAGACTTCCAGTAATACTACTAGGCCAACAATGGCCCAACCTTTATAGCCGATACTCGATATTGACAATTGCTCCAGTATTGTCCCATTTTTGTATTTTATAACAGCCCAATATTGGCCCGTTTGTTCACCAGTGTTCGGCATTCATATTGGGCCAGTATTGGCAAGAAGACAGGACCAATATTGGGCCAGTATTGGCAAGAAGACAGGGCCAATATCGGGCCAGTATTGGCAAGAAGACAGAACCAATATTGGGCCAGTACTGGCAAGAAGACAGGACCAATATTGGCCCGTTTGTTCACCAGTGTTCGGCATTCATATCGGGCCAGTACTGGCAAGAAGACAGGGCCAGTATCGGGCCAGTACTGGCAAGAAGACAGGGCCAGTATCGGGCCAGTACTGGCAAGAAGACAGGGCCAGTATTGGGCCAGTATTGGCAAGAAGACAGGGCCAATATCGGGCCAGTATTGGCAAGAAGACAGGGCCAATATCGGGCCAGTATTGGCAAGAAGACAGGGCCAATAT